AGAATGTCCCACAGCCACCCCTCCCCCCGCCATGGAGAGGGAATGGTCCCTGTCTCCTGGCCATGGATGGCTCCCAGCATAACTGTGGCACCAGGGAAGGCTGTGTCCAGCCAGATGTCGAGGGCTGAAGTCCAAGTTCATTGCAATGTTCCATGCGTGCAGGAGACATCCCAAGCCAAGGATCATGAGGGAAAAGGAACCAGGGTGACATTCTGGGAAGCCCCCTGCAGATCTGCAGTCCTGCAGCCACAGGCTGGCTCATCGAAAGGCACAGGGCACCCCTACTGCCCCGAGGCCACCCATGGGAGCCCAGGACCCCACTCTGCAGTGCTGACAGATCCTGCCTGCCTTAGTCCTGAAATCATGCGCTTGCAAACACTCAGGCAGTTTTCTTTCTCCCCAGGGAAACGAAGATACCCATAAAGTAACGAGCTTGTTGAGACAATTTACAGTAGAATGACTAAGAAACATTTGGAAAATGTTTGACTTCGCAACAATCAAAGACATGCAAAATAAAGCGCCAGCGCGGAATCATTTTCCCTGTCAAACGCACCCAGATAAACACCACAGAATCCGTTCTGGCACGGATGCCACGGAGCAGGCAGAGCAACACCGGGCGGGGACATGGCACCCAGGAAAACGGCGGGACCTTCAAAACGCCTGGCTCTCGTACCCGATGATTACACTTCCAAGGTCCAGCTCAAAGAACGGACAGGGGCCAGTGCTGTGGTGCAGCAGGTCAAGCCATTGTCTGCAGTGCCAGCATCCCGAATGAGCTCTGATTCAAATCCCTGCTGCTCCACTTCCAATCCAGCTCCCTGCTAGTGTGCTCAGGAAAGCAGCAGAAGAGGGCCCAAGTGCTTGGGCCCCAGCACCCATGTGGGAGACCCAGAAGGAGGTCCAGGCTCCTGGCTTCAATCTGGCCCAACCCCAGCCATTGCAGCCATTTGGAAAATGAACTAGTGGGTGGAAGATTCTCTCTCTCTCTCTCTCTCTCTCTCTCTCTCTCCCTCCCTCTCTCTCCCCCCTCCCTCCCTCTCTCTCTCATTGTAAATCTGATTTCAAATAAACAAGTAAATTTAAAGGGAAATCAGTCAAGGGTAGGGCCAGGCTATGGAGCACCTGACCTGTCACCCTAAGATATCCGGGCTTGTCCCTGCAGGCATCAGAGAGCCCCGACAAGTTATCAATCCTTTTGAAGGCTGGCAGAAGGACATGAGTCCTAGTAGGGGGCAGGAGTCCTAGCAGGGAGCCCATTTGAGAGCATGGAGTAACAGTGAGGTGGGAACAGCAGGTGCAGGTGCAGACTCTCCCAGTTTCCTGCAGAGTGGTCCCATTGGAACAAGGTGAAGATGGTGGCCAAGGGAGTGTGGGGATGGAAGAATCACTGTGGATGTACTGCCAGGATTTTTTTGGCAGGGAGGGGGCCTCCAGCTGGAGGTGGCCGGGTCCCAGCTGCATGGAATCACTGAAAATGGTGTTTGCAAACACTATAGGAAGGGAATTTTTAAAAGACAGGTGAATGGTGAAACAGATCCCTTTTTTAAAATTTTTTAAATGATGATGAAATCAGATCAGACCTATTGTCATGTTTAATCCCAGTGAGAGTCAAGTTGGGAATTGATAATTTCTTCTTTTTTTTTTTTTTTTACAGAAGATCAGTTTAGTATACATTAAGTAAAGCTTTCAACAGTTTGCACCCCCATATAAACACAAAGTGAAATATACAGATCCCTTTAATGCAAACAAATGTTAGATTCCTGAGCACTCCCCGAAACAGTGGAATTTGAAGCTTGAGAAAAATAGTTCTAAGTCAAACAAGCCTGGAAGGACTAATCTCCCAAGGGAGCTCATGCAGTCATTATAAATATTTTACAGTGGCTGGAAAAGGCAATAAGAGCCATATTGATAGCCTGTCGCCTACTGTATCCCAGTAGGGGCAGGTGAGTCAGATTATGGCTCATTTACATGCATCATCCACAGCTCCCTGGAAACATCTTGGAATCCACACCCTGAGGTTTCAGTGAGAGGCTTATGCGGTTCAGCTGCAAATGACAAGCTGCCTTTACTTCCTCTGCTTGGTTCTGCATTCGAAAGCTCCGCAATTTTGTTTCCCATGGATCCCAACCCCTGGGCCAGCCCCAGGGCCCAGTGACCCAGCTCCCACATAAAGTGGCTCCCCATAAGCAGGAGCCACTATCAGTCCCCTCATTCTGAGCCCTGAGCCCTGAGCCCTGCACATGGAGCTTGAAATGTGATGTGTGTGCACCTGCGGGATGGCCCCCGTGTCCAACAGGGGGCAACGAGGTGGAAAGGGAGGGCTCAGTTACACAGCTAGTGAGTGGCACCCCCTGAGGCTCTTGCACTCCATGGGCCATGTTCCAACTGGTGCTTCTCAAATTTTTCCATGCATCTGAGTCACCTGGGCTCTTTCTCAAACACAGGTTCCGACTCAGGAGGAGGCCTGGAGTGGGACCTGAGAGTCTGCATCCTTAGCAAAGCTCCCAAGTGATGCACCTGCTGCAAACTCAGGGACCGTGCTCTGAAGAAGAAGGGCATGACCCACTGTGTTGTATTACTCCTGTCCATAATCAGTCATCAGGCTCAGAGACTGACAACAGCTATACCAAAGCCAGCACTGAAAACCAAGCCTGTCTAGCCCAAATGTCCATGCTCTGGCACAAGTGAAAGGCCCGAGACGGGGTGAAGACGGCAGGCACCAGGCACCAGGAGCCAGAGGTTCAGATCTCAGCCCCACCAGCAAGCAGCTAAGACAGAACTTGACTTCTCCAAGCCGAATAACACAGCAGTCTGCCTCGTGGGGCTACTTGGCAATTGCAGTGGAGCAACCAGGATTCGAACTGGCACTCTGATATGGGATGCCTGCATTTCAGACAGTGGCCTAAGCCACTTAGCACTACATTGGCCCTATTTTTATTGTGTTCTTGTCATTACTGGGTAGATTTAAGACTTTGTAGAAGCTTCAAGGGCAACTGTATCTACATATGCCAATTACTTTCCTAAAAAAATAATGACAGATTTATAATTGCGAATACAGCATGTACTCACCCGTTGCCACCTGGGGAGACTGTCCAGAGCCCATCAGGGCGTGGAACCCGTGCTGTGCAGAGCAGAGGCCCAGTAGATATTTACAAGTCCTCACGGAGTCGGTGACAAACGTGTGCTTTTTCCCAGTGACGCTGCTGGTGATGCTGAACTTCTTTCGCTGAAAGAAGAAAATAGAGACTTGAATAAATAGAGCCCTGCAGAGGGCAGTAAGATACTCAGTCCCTCAGGTCAGCATCCACCCGCCGGGCATCCAGGAGGGGAGGACTATGGTGTCCGACTAAGACCTTTTGTGTTTCCTTAAAGAAAATCTTTGTGTCTTCCTCCACTCACAAGGCAAGTGCTTGTGGATCAGGCAAACGTCATTTGCCAAGAGGCATGAAATGAGCCAGGTACACCAGTGGCCGCGGGGAGCGAATGGGATCCCTTGGGTGCATTAGGGAAGGACCATTGCGTACTCCAAAAGATTTGCAGACAAAAGTCTCTGGCAGTGGGATTGTGGCAATAACAAAAGCACTCGGACGTGCTTGTGCGACAGTAACCAGACAGAAACAACATGTAGCACCATCTTGAGTCCTGCCCCTCCTCTCAGAAGGAAGCAGACCACCTGCCAGCCTAGCTGGTGTCCCCTGAAATTGTAAGTGTCCCCCGTCTTTCTGATAAGGTTGGAAACACCAGCAGGATGCTGAGGGGCTGACTGCTAATACACATGCAAAGGGGATACTGTCACACAGGCTTGAAGGCAGGTGCACCGTGGATTTGTGAATGCAGACAGTGTTTCCCTGCAGAAAACATTTTGCTACAGCTCCTGACCACAGGGCCTGGCCAGCCTAGTGTGGAATCCCGTCTGTGAGTGGCCTTGAGGAGCCCTGCCATTCTTCTGCATCTTCCAGTGCCGGGATTCCTTCTCAGCCTGGCGCTGGCATTCAGACTGTGCGCTGATGTTTCTCGCTGCTCCGCACCAGGTTCTACGCCAGGTTGCTTTATGCTTTAACTCATGTCGTCTTTGTAGCTACAGAATGGGGGATTTTATGTCATTAAACTGATTCCATAGAAGTGGAAACAGATCGAGAGTCCCCCAAAAATGCAACAGGAATTGAGATTCCCACCACCAAGAGATGCTTTTCTATGTTACACTCCTTGTTTTTCAGAAACAGACGCCGTGGCTCACTAAGCTAATCCTCCGCCTTGCGGCGCCGGCACAGCAGGTTCTAGTCCCGGTCGGGGCGCCGGATTCTGTCCTGGTTGCCCCTCTTCCAGGCCAGCTCTCTGCTTTGGCCCTGGAGTGCAGTGGAGGATGGCCCAAGTGCTTGGGCCCTGCACCCCATGGGAGACCAGGATGAGTACCTGGCTCCTGCCATTGGATCAGCGCGGTGTGCCGGGCGCAGCGCGCCGGCCGCGGTGGCCATTGGAGGGTGAACCAATGGCAAAGGAAGACCTTTCTCTCTGTCTCTCTCTCTCACTGTCCACTCTGCCTGTCAAAAAAATAAAGAAAAAGAAACAGAGAAGGGGGAGAGAGAGACAAAGACTCATAGACAAAGGGAAAGAGTTCCCGTTCGTTTGCTGGTCCACTCCCCAAATGCCCACAGTGGCCCCTAGCTGGAGCCCAAAGTGGGAAACCAAGGACAAAACCTGGGTTCCCCTTGTGGGAGGTGAGTGGCAGGGACCTGACGACTTGAGCCATCACCACTGCTTCCCCGGGTCTGCTTAGCAGGAAGTGAGTCAGGACTGTCACTGGAGAGAAAGCCATGGCCCTTGTCTTCACAAGAAAGAATTCAGGCGTGAGACGAGAGCAGTGGAAAGCAAAGTGGCAAGGTGTATTAGGGTAGGACAACCGCAAGAATGGACAGGCGACTGCAGACAGAACCTGAGAGACAGTGCCCAGCTTACATTCGGCCTGGGGTTTTAAGGGGATAGGTCTTGCCTACCCACCTTTTCTCCCCACCCCCTTCTACTCCTCCAGAACAAAGGACTTATTGGGTGAAAATAAGAAAAATTCCTGCCCAAGTTTTCCACTGAGGTTGTCAGACAGAGGAAGCCTGGCTGGCATGGTGGAAAGGGAGGGGCTTAGTTACACAGCTAGTGAGTGGCACCCCCTGAGGCTCTTGCACTCCATGGGCCATGTTCCAAGCTGGTGCTTCTCAAACTTTTCCATGCATCTGAGTCACCTGGGCTCTTTCTCAAACACAGATTTTGACTCAGGAGGAGGCCTGGAGTGGGACCTGAGAGTCTGCATCCTTAGCAAAGCTCCCAAGTGATGCACCTGCTGCAAACTCAGGGACCGTGCTCTGAAGAAGAAGGGCATGATCCACTGTGTTGTATTACTCCTGTCCATAATCAGTCATCAGGCTCAGAGACTGACAACAGCTATACCAAAGCCAGCACTGAAAACCAAGCTTCTCTCTAGGGTGCCCGCCTTAGAGGAAGGATGTTTACCTGGCCAGGTGGAAGGGGCTGGACCCCCGGGACAGTCATCAGGACCTGGGCAGGACTTTGAAGTGCTAAGTGCTGGCCTGCACCTGGAAGGTTCCCAGGGTGACTTCAAAATGCAGATGCAGGTGCAGATGCTGGGCTGCTGTAGATGTCAGTTTCCTTAGGCCCTTCTCACACACACAGCTAATTTCCAACTTCCTGCCTAACAGGACCACAGCCAGCTGTCAAAGCCAGGTGTTCCAAAATAGGACATAGATGTCTTAACCACTAGGCCAAACACTCGCCCCTGCATTGTACTGTTAAGGCTCACACACAAAAAATAGTATTTGTGTAGCTCATAAGGCTAAACCAACAAAGTTATCTCTATGGAGCTTCATAGAATAAAGAATTATAACATTTTGGAAAATTTAATGCTAATATGAATGATAAAATATGAAGTAAGAGAGGTGATATTGTTTCAGGAAAACAGCGTGGAGAAATTATTGCTACCTCAGTTCTTTGTCTCACATGGAAGAAGAATTTCCAAGCGGACAGCAGAGAGATTTAAAAGGATTTATTAGAGTCAAAGACCTCCAGCTGGAGTGGCATGGAGGGGGCGCTTCCAAGAGAGGAAAGAATCCCAAGAGGCCCCTAGCACTGGGGTTTTTAAGTACAGTTTTGAAAGAAAAAAAACCTTGACAATCAGATTGGCATTCAGTTACCAGGTAGCGACAAAACCCACAAAAGACCTGATTTCCAACCCTCCATGCTGTCTGGCCTGCCCCTGATAAAACAAAAGACCATCCAGAGAGGTGGTACAGGTAACTTGCTCTCACAATCAGCTGTGAGCTCAGGAAGAGCTTCCCTAGCTATTTGGAGATTCTGAAGGAAGGAGGGTGGCCTGCTTGTTCTTGCTAAAGATAACGTTTTTGGGGGGAAAGAATCAAATATTTTACACTGCAAATTCCATTGGGACCACCCTGACTCCTCACACTATTACAGTGAATTTATATGTAATTCTAGATGAAGTCTCTGCTCTAGATATTCTATATATTTCAGTAAGAACTTTAGGTTTGCTCCTGTGAAAATAACTTACCCACACAGTGTTCATGCCTGAACGGGCTCCCTGGAATTCCTGACCCTCTTCTAGACTCATCTCACGTAAACCCTGACAGCAACCTTCCTGAGAAACTCCATTCATACAAGCCAGAGATTAACAAATGGCACATCGTTTTCATTGCTTTTCCTTTTCCCCATTCACCTACTTTTGGATAATCATTTTTAATTGTACATTTATTGACAAATGTGCTAATGTGAATGGATTCTGATTCTAACGGAACTATTCTATAGCTTGTGTCTTTTTACACAATGCATTTTCTCAAATATTTATTTTTTTAAAGATTTATGTATTTATTTGAAAGTCAGAGTTACACAGAGAGAAGGAGAGGCAGAGAGAGAGAGGTCTTCCATATGCTGGTTCACTCCCCAGGTGGCTGCAATGTCTGGAGCCAGGTTGATCCAAAGCCTGGAGCCAGGAGCTTCTTCTGGGTCTCTCACACAGGTGCAGGGGCCTAAGTACTTGGGCCATCTTCTACTGCTTTCCCAGGCCATAGCAGAGAGCTGGATCGGAAGTGGAGCAGCTGAGTCTCGAACCAGCACCCATATGGGATGCTGGCACTGCAGGCAGTGGCTTTACCCACTAAGCCACAGTGCCAGGCCCACCAAATACTTATAGATGTTTCTCTGTTAGTCTTAGTACTTCTTCCTCCAACACCAAATCTCAGTCCTTGCCATTTGGTGCCAAATCAAAATAATGTGGACAGGGGCTGGCACTGTGGCACAGCTGGTTAAAGCCGCCACCTGCAGCAACAGCATCCCATGTGGGCACTGGTTCAAGTCCCAGCTGCTCCACTTCTAATCCACTCCCTGCTGATACACCTGGGAAAGCAGCAGAGGATGGCCCAGGTCCCTGGACCCCTGCACCCATGTGGGAGACCCGGAGGAATCCAGGCTCCTGGCTTCGGATCAGTTCAGCTCCAGCCGTTGCGGCCATCTGGGGAGTGAACCAGCGCATGGAAGACTTCTTTGTGTGTGTGTGTCCGTGTGTGTACCTCTCTCTGTAACTCTGCCTTTCAAAATAAAACTTTAAAAAAAAATGATGTGGACAAGGCTTAAAGATAAAGTTTGATCTGCCGACAGATGAGGAAGTAGCAGACTCAAGTCTCCAGAACTGCCATCCTCTGAATGAGGGGCTACAGAGAAGGTGGAATCAGGAATAAGAGGAAGAAAACACAGGGCAAGACGCACATTGCCTCCAGCCGGGTGAGAAGGGGCAGGTTGGAGGCTGGGGGTTATGCGGTCAGGTTGCATGTTCGGTTCTTGTCCAAGCTCCTCTGTTAGCCAGTAGCGCTCTGCTCTTTAGGGAATGCCTATGACAGCCAAGAGGGCTATGGTCGGTGTGGTGGCCACATGCAGGTGGTAATTGCTTTCTACCCCAGATCTGAAATTCCTCCAAGGGAAACCAAACTCCTGGAGACAATGTTAGAAAACCTTGTAGGGCCAGCTCCACCACACCCTTAATTCAGTGAGTTAAACTAAAGGGGGGAGCCTGGGAGGCTGGCGCCTGATGGTTTCTGACACCTACGTTCCCGGCACTGTGTAGGGCCTTGGTTTCACCTCACTATTTAACCCAGCATTTCAGGCTTGCTGGAGATTTGATTAGAAGCCATGCACTTGATCAGCACACACTGATACACTTTTTTTTTTTTTTGACAGGCAGAGTTAGACAGTGTGAGAGAGAGAGACAGAGAGAAAGGTTTTCCTTTTTCTGTTGGTTCACCCCCAAGTGGCCGTTAAGGCCGGCGCGTTGCGGCCATCGCCGATCCAAAGCCAGGAGCCAGGTGATTCCTCATGGTCTCCTATGTGGGTGCAGGGCCCAAGGACTTGGTCCATCCTCCACTGCACTCCCGGGCCACAGCAGAGAGCTGGCCTGGAAGAGGGGCAACCAGGACAGAATCCGGCACCCCGACTGGGACTAGAACCCAGAGTACCAGCGCTGCAGGCGGAGGATTAGCCTAGTGAGCCGCAGCGCCGGCCATACCGATACACTTTCAAAGCATCCTGTAAATGTATATTAATTTTCTTCAGGTATTTAAATATTTAAATACAATGTTTACATATTGTAGAGGAGTCAGTCAACTTTTCAGATCTAATGACAAATCTAACAAATCTGAAAAGGGAGACTCCACACACACACACACACACACACACCCCTCAGTCTCTTTCAGTCTGTAAATTCTCAAACATACTTTCCCTTTGGAATTCAGTGCTGTAAGACGTTGGACACCACAGAGAGCTGAAGAGCAATCTTGCTTCTCTGCTCAAAGCTGCAAACAGTTTTGGCTGTGGAGGTGCGGCCGGCTGCCACTCATCACCATCTTGATAACATCCTCTCATGGGAAATTCTCTCTGCAGGCAAACACTCGCATAGCGAGCTGCTGTGTGAATAAGATGATGTCAGACTCCAGCCTCAGCTCGGGGACCTGGCCGTGAAAACCCTCCTGGGCGGCCTCTCCGTGCAAACACCAGGTGCATCGTTGCGAATGCCTCATCTCCACGGGCTGTGTTGTCGCCGCGGTGTGTTCGCCTACGTGCTGATTTGTATGTCTGTAAGTCGTCGTGCCTCTATGCAGAAGAGTGGTATTCTTCCAGGCAGAGGCAGGTGAAGCCAAGCTCCAGGACCCCGCCTTGGATGGCGTCTTTGCCAGGAGGGGCCCTGGCACTGTGCCCACCTGGTCGTCTAAGATGCAGACAGTAAGCAGCTTCTTCCATCCCACTCCAACTCCCCTCCTTCTCGCCATCTCTCACGCCAGGTGCTGGGTGCTATGGAGCGGAGTCCCCAGAGGAGATGTGGAGACAGACACAGGTTTAGTTTAGATTTCGTGCGATTTATTTATGCCACTTAGACTCCCCTGTGCAGTAGGTACTTTGCTGCCAGCTTCGCCAAACTCCTTCCATGGAGCCAGCACAAAAGCGCACGTGACGTTAACCAGGACCTGCTATAGCAGACACCCTAGGAGGCTCAACATGTACAGAGCCTGGTCTCTGGGAAGCTTTTGCAACCGTCAAAAACACCCAATAAGCTGAAGTCCCGTCCACAGAGGACATGCTGCATAATGGCAGATATTACATCATCAATGCACCACATGAGTATTTTCGGTTTTTTTTGGTAGGAACCGTACAAAATAGGATTTGTTGTATTTCTTGCATTTGTAGCAAGGCGCTCTATAGCAACACCATAAAGAGACAGCATGTCTCCGTGCAAAGCTGCATGTTTTATGCATCTTATCAATAATAAAAACAAATTTCTATCAGCCAGGCCAGAAGAAAGACTAAGCCATAGCTCTACACTCTTGAGAGAAAACGGTATTACAAACGTGTCATCATATGGAAAAAATTAATCAGAGGATGATACCAAAAATTTGAAAGAAAAAAATATTATAGATTGGTCAGAGGGTTAATTAATAAAAATAGGATTTCCTGGATTTTGTGATATTTTCAGTGTTTGCTCAGCTTTTGAAAATTCAAGTGTTGATGTGATTTCTTGTCTCATTGGAAAGAAATACTCCCTTGCTTGCAGTAGTTTGTGTTTGTCACTTTGTATTCTTTTTCTCAAGAGAGTGCTACCTCTCCTGTACCTCTCCTGCTTTCCTGTGTTTCTCTTCAGAGATTTTGACAGTGCATAGGTTCATTCTTCCAGCAGGACTGTTTTTTGACTGATAATCAAACCATGCACAGATGCCATCACATCTACCAGTCATGTCCTTTGAAAACAGTTCCCCACCTCCCCGGCGACTTGACTTCAGCAGGCTGGCGAGATAAATAATCTGTGATTGAGGCATTTTGCCTTCAGTTATTAATATGCAAGACTGAATCCAGCGTCCTGAGCTAATTCGTGTATTGATCTCAGCGTTCCCAATTTTGTGCTTGCAGAAGCATAAAAAGTTCAATCATTTTTCTGGAGCAGCTGCTTGTTTCGTGGCAAGCAGCTGGTGGCATGACTGCACGTGATGCCTTTTCCATAAAAACCAGTCATTCACACCAAGAACGAGCCGATCAGCGGAGTGTAGAAGCCCTAATTAAGTAGCGTTTTGCAGGCTACTAAGTTTGTCTTGTGGACCTCATGACTTCCCCGCTTTAATCAAAACATTGTTCCTCATTGTGGGGAAAACAAACATCTACAAAAATTAAATCAATTTATATATCAAGTACTCACCTACAGGGATTGTTAACCTTTTTTGACTTGAAAAAAATCCACTTTTCAAAATTCCTTTTGAGCTTATCTTCATTTTTATGAATATTTTTTAAACAAACTATATTGAAATTTTTGAATGATTAAACACACAGCAAAGCACATACGAAGGAATGTAACAGTATTTTTTTGATTCCATAACTAAAATTCCTCAAATAAGCTTTTAACCAAGTGAAAGTAATTCACATAATTAAAATTTTGAAAAATTCATAAATACAAAATGGTTTATATTTAAGTTTGGTCAAAAATATCTGGGAAAAAGTCAGTATTCTGGTCATATAAATGCCACTTTTATGAATTCAAATTATGCTCAAGTATTATTTACCTTAGAAGTAACCATTTCTCCTAAAGACAAACAATAATGTATCACGAAATTCTAGCAAGAATAATATTTGACACTGCGCTAGCCTCAAAATCCACATTGTCACACACAAAAGAATCTGTCAGGAGATGAATAAAAGCTATCATGTTCTATTTAAGAAACTCTAACATCAGATAATGATGACAGAAACTGTGGACTAGTTGGCAGACAACCCTTGAAACCACTGGAGAATATAGAAAGAGAAATTGAATTTTTTGATGGCCTCTAGGACAAAGAACCATAAAGTATCTGTGAAATCCGACAAGCAGTCCTACATACGACAGCTCAGCATCCATGGTGCCAGGGCCAAATTGGTTGTAACTGAATTCAAGAAGAATAAATACACAAATAGCGTCCAAATATCATCTGAAACGTTACGTGTTTAATGAGGGCTTCCTGTGTTTTGAAAATGGCTTTTAAACTTTCAAGGGCCATCACAAGTTTGCACACCTCAGTGTTCGTGGCACACCTGAGCCCATGAGAGACTGGCCAGGTACCTGGGCACAGTGCTAGCAAAGGGACAATTCAACCACTAGGGACGTGGCTGCGAACCTGGGGGGCTCCAGTCCACTGGCACTATGCTCCCCTCCCTGGCGCTGCCTCCAACCTTGCTCTCATCTGGGGTGAATGCTCCAGCTGAGAACTCCACCCAGAGGAAAAGTGTAGCCCGTGGGGCTAATGGCTGTCCATGGGTGTCCTGGTGGGAGGCTGGGGAGGGGTGGTGGGAAGAACAGCCTCCCAACCCCCTGGTAGCCTTCTTCTAGCCACCCAACAGTGCACAGAGCACAGGTTAACCCCAGCCACCCCACAGAGCACAGATTAACCCCAACCTCCCCACAGCACACAGAGCACAGGTTAACCCCAGCCTTCCCACAGTGCTCAAAGCACAGGTTAACCCCAGCCTACCCACAGCACACAGAGCACAGAGCACAGGTTAACTCCAGCCTACCCACAGCACACAGAGCACAGATTAACCCCACACCACCCCACAAAGCACAGGTTAACCCCAGTCTCCCCACAGTGCACAGAGCACAGGTTAACCCAACCTCCCCACAGTGCACAGAGCACAGGTTAACCCCAGCCTCCCCACAGAGCACAGAGCACAGGTTAACCCCACCCTCCCCACAGAGCACAGAGCACAGGTTAACCCCAGCCTCCTCACAGCACACAGAGCACAGGTTAACCCCACCCTCCCCACAGCACACAGAGCACAGGTTAACCCCAGCCACCCCACAGTGCTCAGAGCAAGGTAACCCCAGCCACCCCACAGTGCTCAGAGCACAGGTTAACCCCAGCCTCCCCACAGCACACAGAGTATAGGTTAACCCCAGCCACCCCACAGTGCTCAGAGCACAGGTTAACCCCAGCCTCCCCACAGCACACAGAGCACAGGTTAACCCCACCCTCCCCACAGCGCACAGAGCACAGGTTAACCCCAGCCACCCCACAGTGCTCAGAGCAAGGTTAACCCCAGCCACCCCACAGTGCTCAGAGCACAGGTTAACCCCAACCTCCCCACAGCACACAGAGCACAGGTTAACCCCAGCCTCCCCACAGTGCTCAGAGCACAAGTTAACTCCAGCCTCCCCACAGCGCACAGAGCACAACCATCACACAGCGCTCCAAGCACAGGTTAAGGGTTCTGAGCACTTGGGCGGGAGATGTCCACATGACTGTGTCTCCCAGCGCAGAAGCATAAAGGAAAATGAAGCCTGGCCCTGTATCACCCAAGTCACACTCACGCAGGTGGAAATCTTCCCCGTCTCTCTCCACGGAAGCCATAGAGTTGCAGTCCTGCCGTGGGGCTTCACTGCGTATACCACGACTCCCTTGGCACAGACCCCCAGGGCCGTGTCCCCCTCTGGCCTCTTCTTCTCTGGGAAGACGCGGTGAACCAGCACGCCGTACTCCGGGAGCTGCTGAGTGACCTGCGTGAGGGAAAAGCCAGGCCACCGAAAGTATGTTAGCAGGTTCCTTTCGGACCACACTCGGCTGAACGAAGGTCCTTCACACAGAACAAACCCACATTTCTAACATGATGGCATTTTTCTATTCTTTCCTTGCAGAGTACCTAATGCAACACTTGGAGAGGCCGCCGCCTGTTCTCTATTCTGTAAGAGACAAGGAGGAAGTCCCAGCCGCTGTGATTCACACAACCCAGGGACTGTGTGTGGAGTAAGTGAGCTCTGGGATGGGTTCTGATGGTTGTGCCATTGACAGCCTAGCAGAGGGGACAGGATGTGTCCAGAAATGACTGCAAAGCCACGTATCTCCCCGGTATACGGCTGCAACATGCAAAACAGCCCGAGAGTGGACGCCTGTGTCCCACGCCAGAGCACCCGTGTTCAAGTCCCAGCTCCAGCCCCTGACTCCAGCTTCCTGCTCACACAGCCCCTGGCAGGCGGTGGCGCTGGCTCGCGTGATTGGGTCCTGGCCACCCACGTGGGAGACCTGGATTGAGTGCCAGCTCCTTGCCCCAGCCCAGCCCTTGACCATTGTGGGCATTTGGAGAATGAAGCACCTGATGGGAACTCTTTGTCTTTCAAATAAAATAGATAGAGGCCAGCTCTGCGGCATAGCAGATGAAGACACCACTTGCAGTGCTGGCATCCCATGGGGGCACCGGTTCGAGTCCCAGCTGCTGCACTTCTGATCCAGCTCTCTGCAATGGCCTGGGAAAGCAGTGGACAATGATCCAAGTCCTTGGGCCCCTACACCCACGTGAGAGACCTCAAAGAAGCTCCTGGCTCCTGGCTTTGGATTGACACAGCTCTGGCTGTTGCGGCCATTTTGGGGATGAACCAGCAGAGGGAAGACCTCTCTCTCTCTGCCTCTGCCTCTCTGTGGCTCCACCTTTCAAATAAACAAATAAATCTTTTTTTAAAAAATAAAATATATGAATAAATGACATGTTCATTACCTGCAACCTGAATTCCACTCATGAGATCATATCCCTAAGGAACTAAGCAGAAATACAGCTAAAAAATTATGCAGAAAAATGCTAACGTCAGAGTTGCTTAAAATAGTTGCATATTGGAAGACAATTTATAGGTCAAACAACAGAGCATTGAGGCGAAAAACTAGGGCACATCATGTATTAATTCACAATTTCAGTTCAGCAGGATTATATAAATGCACTAACATGCATATGGATTATAAACCCACCTTTAAATGTATCAACACTAAATGAATGCCCAGAACAAAGGGAGAAAGATGAAAACAAAGGGAGAAAGATGTAACTGCGCTACCTCCCAGCACGGGGAGGTGGAATTATGCAGAAATGTTTACTTTAACAATCAGAGCGGGACAAGCTCCCTCCCTAACGGGATGGGTCCCCGTGGGCTCCAGGCAGGATGCTCATCTCTCTGCACACTGCACACAGCCTCAAGCAGACCTCCCAGGGAAAAAAACAAATCCAGGAAAGACTGCAGGCAAATGACTCCAGAGCTATTCAGTGCTAGGTCAAAGCTCAAGGGAAAAGTGGCCTGCGGTTCAACCAGCCGGGAGGGACACAGGGAGCCCAGGACCCAAGGCTGGGGCCTGGGGAGAGGCTGGCAGGTGGAGTGCACCCCACAGGTGTTTCCAGCAAGGCTGACTCCCTGGCCGTCCCACAGTTGGGTGGCCACTCGCATCACATGGCTCTGTAACCCCCACTCGTGCCCCGTGACGGAGTGCTCCATCTTGACAGGGAACACGCATGAAGGCTGAGCTGTGGGAGGCGGTGAGCGTGTTGCTGTGAGTCTCAGCTCATGAGACACTTGCAGGTGACACCGTGCTAGGCATGAGGACCTGTGAGGTCCCATCTCCTGCACGGTTGGCCAAAAAGAGAGGGCCAGAGCTTGCCCCGGCAGCTCTGCGTTCCAGTGCCCGTGACTATTAATGGCAAGATAACACGGACTGAATATTTCTACCGGTGTAGACTTGTGTACAGAGAAATGGGCAAACCCCTGAGCTTCCTCTGCATTTTCATGTGTATCACAAAATTTTATTCACACATATATTTGAATGGCAAAGAGAGAATGAGAGAGGGAGCAAGCCAGGGTTCCCACTTGCTGGCTCGCCCTGAAGCTGTCCACAACAGCCTAGACTGGGCTGGAGAAGTGATGCTGAGAGCTGGGAACTCAACCTAGGCCTCCCACGTGCAAGGCAGGAACCCAATTACCTGGGCCATCCCTACCGCCTCCCCAGGTGTGCATTATATGAAGCAGAACCCAGGTACTCCCACATGAGACAGCAGTGTCTGAACTGCTAGGCTAAACACCTGCTCCCCTGAGTTTCCTTTGGAGGCTGCTCCTCAAATCTAAAGGCCCAGCCACTTATGGCGTCCTGGAGGACCCAGGGCGTCTCCTTTGCGGAGTGGACGGCTCTGTCCTGGTCCCACCATCTTGACCTAGAGTAGCTGAGGTTGCCCTGATTCTCACTGAGCGTTCATCCCAGTGCTGCCTGCTGGCTCCCGGGCACACAGCCACTTTCCCAGGAGACCTGAGACTTGCCATGGACGGGGAGCAATGCTTTCTGTCTCCGTTCCCCCATAGCGTCTGGTCTGCAGTAAGCAGGGGTCGTGGAATAAGCAAAGGCCGTTCATCGTAATGGGTGACTGTGAATGCAGGACTGAAATGCCATTGCCTTTGCGGGGAGGGTGAGTGGCTCAGAGCCGCACCCCGTACATGGACCGGGAAGTTGCAAATTCGGGATCTTCCAATGGCTCCGCTTTGGCCCGCAGCCCAGCTTTGTCCATCGGTGGTCCTATGAGTCACGTATGAGAAACGAAGTCTCCCGGCTGGCAGAGGAGTGGCTGGGACGCTGCTCCAAGGTGGAAGAAAGGAGCTACGGCACCCAGCCCTGCTTGCTAAATCCTCCCATCTCTGGGGCCATTTCCAGCACCACCTGCTTCTAGAAGCTTCTCCCTGCCCCATCAGAGCAATGAGGTTCGCCTGTACCTGCTTGCAGGTCTGAGCCCATCTGGCCCCCTAGGGAAGGCTCGGAAGGGGCTTTGCTGACTGTGTTCCCTCGAACCCAGCTCCCTCTCAAGGCACAGAGCCCTCACCCTCAAGAACTGCAGCTCGGCGTCCACTCCCCGGGGTGCAGAACTGAGCCGGTGCATCTGGGAGACCTCCACCTGGACCCGGAGAGCCGTCATTCTCTCGATCAGACTCGCCGGGAGGTATTCTTCCGCTCGAAAATACGCCTTGCTCTCCCCCTGCTGGAGACAAAGACAGAGGTTCAGAGCGGGCGACGAGGACTCCGCAGGACAGCCGTGTGTGGCTCGCCATGCCGCTGGGGGCCCAGGGTGGGAGCTGCCCTGGTGGGCTATCATTTCCCACACTATCAGAAGTGGAGCGAACCCTACAGCGTGGATAGATGGGAGACAAGAAAGGAGTTCCGCTGTGGTCCTGGGAACACACAAGGCTCTCTCAGCCCTCACAGTACTACCACGAGAGGGGGCATTAAGATGAGCAAGGAGGGAAATCAGCCAAGAAAGCCACAGCCACACGGCTCGCAAGGACCCGGAAACGAGGCTGGTTCACCCGGAAGTTCCTCCTAGGAGAGGCTGGAAGACCGGTGTCACCCACTGCTTCATGGGAAGTTCCCTGAAAACAGCCTGCAGCGCAGAGTATGCAGAAGTATGAGAAGGGGATCTGGGGGGACCGGCACAGTGTCCGCCACAGTCCACGCTCCCGGGGTGACACAGGCCTGTCCTTGGCTGGCCATGGACCGAGCGTCATCAAGCTTGCTGCTAGCCCACACTGATTCTGAGCTCAGCTCAGAGACACAGAGGGAAAGAAGTTGCTCAGCTAAGCGGGTAAGAAAACACGTGGAAGGAATGCCATTGGACTGGCCGAACACCCAGGACACTGACAACATCAAATGCTGGTGAGCAAGCAGAGCTCTCATTCACTGCTGGTGAGCTCGCGAAACAGCGCGGCCACTTTACAGGACAGTTTGGTGGTGGTATGGCCGGCGCCACGGCTCACTAGGCTAATCCTCTGCCTGCGGCGGCAGTACCCAGGGTTCTAGTCCCGGTTGGGGTGCCAGATTCTGTCCCGGTTGCTCCTCTTCCAGGCCAGCTCTCTGCTGTAGCCTGGGAAGGCAGTGGAGGATGGCCCAAGGGGCCCTGCATCCGTATGGGAGACCAGGAGGAAGCACCTGGCTCCTGGCTTCGGATCTGCGCAGCACGCCGGCCGAAGCAGCCATTTGTGGGGGTGAACCAACGGAAGGAAGACCTTTCTCTCTGTCTCTCTCTCTCTCTCACTGTCTAACTCTGCCTGTCAAAGAGAGAGAGAGAGAGAGAGAGAGAGAGAGAGAGAGAACAGTTTGGTGAATAATTTTTAAAGATTTATTTATTTATTTGAAAGAGTCACAGAGAGAGAAAGAGGTCTTCCATCTGCTGGTTCACTCCCCATTGGCCACAACAGCCAGAGCTGCACTGATCCGAAGCCAGGAGCTTCTTCCGGGTCTCCCACGTGGGTGCAGGGGCCCAGGGACTTGGGCCATCTTCTACTGCTTTTCCAGGCCACAGCAGAGAGCTGGATCTGAAGAGAAGCATCCGGGACTTGAACCGGCGCCCATATGGGATGCCGGTGCTTCAAGCCAGGGCGTTAACCCTCTATGCCACAGCGCCGGCCCCTGATGAATTCTTTAACATCGCTAAATGTAATCTTATGGTAGGATCCAGCCCTGGTATGTACTCAAAGGAGAAGTCTTACATCCACACAAAAACCTGCACCTGTGTGTTGATAGCAACTTTAAGCGTAGTTGCCAGGACTTGGAAGCAAAAGGTAGCATTCAGCAGGTGACTGCATAAATACGCTGCACTCCCCTCGGTCAGTATTCAACACGAACAAGCCATGATTCCTGAGGCCACGAAGACGTGGAGGGAAGCCTCGATGCATGCTGCCAGGCAAACACCCTCAGCCTAGAAAGTCTTCAGAAGCTTCAAGGAAATGCGTACGAAGAAAAAAAATCAATATTTTGCACAAAAATAAACTTACTTTCTAATTCTATTTTGCAAAACTCTGCAAAGTACTCTCATGTGTCCAAGAAGTCAGTTTGGAACTAAAATAAGCTCCAACCACAAGGACATTGATTTCTATGCCATTTAATAAAGGGAAAGGTGAGAAATAACTCTAGTAATAATAATAGCAATAATAATAAATCACTTACATGGTGCCTATAGAGAGGGGGTGCCCAACAGGAAGAGGGAGGAACACGCAGCCCTGGGAAGCCATCCCATGCAGCCACACAGGACGGCCGCAGGAGGACTGACCCGGTGACGTGAGAGCAGAATGCAAAGCAAGTGTGGCGGCGTCTACAGCTGTGCCGACCCCTGCGTGTGACCAAGGCTGGCAGGGACAGTTGCTCTGCCACGATGACGTGATCAAGGAGACTTGTTTTTATATGAAATCGTCTTTGCCTGCCTCTTTTAAAATGCAAATGTAATCATGTTACCTCCCTACGTGGGATTCTTCAGGAACTCCGGATCTCTCACAACAGTGGTTTTCAACTCCTTTTTTTTCCAACACCAGAAGCACTCATCAAGCAAAATAGAAGGCTCCTAGGAGGGCTCACTCAGTCCTCCCAGGGGTGACAGGTGCCCCCAGCCAGCCTTGTAGCCAGCAAAGCTCAGGAATCGGTGAAACACCTACAGTTCACTGATGAGCCAGCCTCCTCCTCCTACCCATTCAGTGACGCAGAGAGGGGCTCTGCCCTGTGACGTGCCCCCCACAGCAGTGCGCGTACAATGGAGTAAGGCCCCAGAAGTGGATCTTGGCTCCTACTGGCTTGCAATTTGTTCAACCACAGATGACAATAGAATAAGCTGTTGAAGGGAGAGCCGGTGCCCAGTACAGAGCGGGGCCATCGTCAGCGAGCTCCAAGTGAGCAGGTGCACAGGTGAATGGGTCTGTGTACCCTGTTGTCTCTACACACAAAAGAAAGGGGCAAACGTCTGTCTCTGTGGGCAGCAGAGAGCACCCCAGGAATTCTCTGCACCCCACAACTCTGGGAGAAGTGGAGGCTCGGCAGACTCTGGGGAAGCCAGGGATGGAGAATGAGATGAGACTGAGGCGGAAACAGGATGAGGTCAGCCATGGTTAATTCTCCATGTCAACTTGAACAGGCCACAGGGGGCCAGACATCTGTCCCAACCTTCTGCGTGTGTCTGCTAGGTTGCTCCGGGGTGAAATTAGCAATTAAATCAGTAAGCTGAGTTAAGTACATCGTCCTCCCTCTTGTGGGTGGGCGTCTCTCAGTCTGTCCATGCTGTTAACAGCAAAGTACTATAGACTCAGCTTCTCTAAGGTAGCACCTTACTGTTCTGTCCTCAGCGGGAGAAGCAGCAGGAGTGGGGACCGAGCCTATGAAGTTGCTGGAAGAAGATGTAGGGGAAACCCTCCGAGACCTCGTCTCAGCCCTGTTAGAATGGCTATGACCAAACACACACACACACGCACACACAACAAATGCCAACAAGAAGATGTGAGTGATACCATGGACCCTGCGGTGTTTCTGCGGGGTGAATGAGTTAATATAAGGGAGGAACATTCACCTCTGGGAGTGTATCTAAAGAATTGAGAAGATGGGGGCCGGCACTGTGGCACAGCGGGTTAAAGCCCAGCCCTGCAACACCAGCATCCCATATGGATGCCGGTTCAAATCCCGGCTGCTTCTCTTCAGATCCAGCTCTCTGCTGTGGCCTGGGAAAGCAGTAGAAGATGGCCCAAATCCTTGGGCCCCTGCACCCACGTGGAGGACCCAGAAGAAGTGCCTGGCTTCGGGTCAGCTTAGCCCTGGCCATTGAGGTCATCTGGGGAGTGAACCAGCAGATGGAAGACCTCTCTCTCTGTGTCTCTACCTCTCTCTGTAACTCTTTCAAATAAATAAAATAAATCTTTAAAAAAAAAGAATTGAGAAGAGACATCTGTACCTGAATGTTAACTGGACTACTACTCCCAACAGCCAAAATACAGAATCAAGCAAAATGTCTGTCAGCAAATCAATGTTGGGTAGGTGAGGGGGTGGGTGGATAGATGTGTGGGGACATGGATGGATGATGGCTGGCTGGATGACGGATTCTTAATTACAGAAACTTCAAGTCACTAAGGCTCCCCCATCCCGTAGCGGCTTCTCCCGTGACCCCACCCAAGGGCCCCAGGTGCCCACCCCTACCTCCTTAGGGTAACTGCCAAACTCCGCCTGCAAGGCGAGGACGCCCAGCTGCAGCAGCGTCTCATCATCACAGCACAGCCGCTCCTCCAGAATGTCTCTCCGCAGCTGCAGGTAATACTGATGCCTGGTCAGGCTGTGCCTGGAAACGCAACGCAGGAATAAGGGCAAGGCCTTTCTCAGCCTGGGTTGTGGGCGGAGCAGGGAAGAGGCAGGCAGCTGACCCTCACTCCAGGAAGAACAAGTGAAGGAGGGGATGACCCAGCACCAAAGCCACGCCCCCTCCTCATCTTGCATGCTGTGTGGAGGGAGGAAAGGGGGTGTGTTGGAGACGGGGAAAGAGAACATTGACCTTGAATGAAGTATTTGAAAATTGGGGCCAGCACTGTGGCATGTGGCACAGTGGGTAAAGCCCTGGCCCTGAAGCGCCGGCATCCCATATAGACGCCGGTTCTAGTCCCGGCTGCTCCACTTCTGATCCAGCTCTCTGCTGTGGCCTGGGAAAGCAGAAGATGGCCCAAGTCCTTGGGCCCCTGGGAGACCCAGAAGAAGCTCCTGGCTTTGGATTAGTGCAGCTCTGGCCATTTTGGCCAACTGGGGAGTGAACCATCGGATGGAAGATCTCTCTGCCTGTCCTCTCTCTGTGTGACTCTGACTTTCAAATAAATAAATCTTTTTTAAAAATTTAAAAAAAAATAAATAGGCCTGTGCCGTGGCTCATTTGGTTAATCCTCCACCTGCAGCGCCAGTACCCCAGGTTCTAGTCCCGGTTGGGGCGCCGGATTCTGTCCCGGTTGCCCCTCTTCCAGTCCAGCTCTCTACTGTGTCCCGGGAAGGCAGTGGAGGATGGCCCAAGTGCTTGGGCCCTGCACCTGCATGGGAGACCAGGAGGAAGCACCTGGCTCCTGGCACAGCGCGCCAGCCGTGGCGGCCATTTGGGGGGGTGAACCAACAGAAGGAAGACCTTTCTCTGTCTCCTCTCTCTCTCTCTCTCTCTCACTCTCTCTTTCTCTCTCTAACTCTGCCTGTCAAAAAGAAGAAGAAGAAGAAGAAGAAGAAGAAGAAGAAGAAGAAGAAGAAGAAGAAGAAGAAGAAGAAGAAGAAGAAGAAGAAGAAGAAGAAGAAGAAGAAGAAGAAGAAGAAGAAGAAGAAGAAGAAGAAGAAGAAGAAGAAGAAGAAGAAGAAGAAAAAGAAAAGAAAAGAAAAGAAAAGAAAAGAAAAGAAAAGAAAAGAAAAGAAAAGAAAAGAAAAGAAAAGAAAAGGCCAAGTTCTTATTTTAAGCAGGGCCTGCCTCACCAAACTGATTTCCCTCCTTGTTCCAGCATAGCAGGTTCACGTTGGTGGGCAACCAAGCACAGGAGCTATTACTGTTTATACCCAATTCAAGGTTCTGCAAAGCATGTGCCTTTCCATGCCTGGATGCTCAGGTCTCCCGTAAGCACCAAAGGGACAGGTTTGCAGCACTCACTGGAGCAGCTCATAGTGGCTGACAAAAAACTTGATCCTCAGGAAGAGCGTGAAGGGGTCCCCGGAGGGCTGAGGCCTCTCTCGCCAGCCCTCGGGGGCGACTTCCCACAGTCTGGTGTCGCTGTCCAGGAAGAAGAACTCTTCGCCTGCAACGGAAATGGTGTTTGGGGGTGAGAAGTGGTTATGGATGCTCCACCCCTCAGACTCACAGCCCTGAGCCCTGTCCGGAAGAGTCGGATGTGAGCCCTGTGTGCCGGAGAGAGGGGGAAGCAAGCCTTCCAGGTGCCTGTGTAGGGGCCATGAAAGGCCGAGGGCACCAGACAAACAGGAGAGGATGAAGGCAGAGAAACTAGGGACTGAGAGGAGAAGATGTAATTATGGTCAACCCTCCCCCTCCGTGGCCTCGACGTCAGCAGGTGCAGCTTAACCATGGATGAAATCACCATGGGAAAAAAAATAGGTCTGTATCGAACACGTACAGCCTTTGTTTGATTATTATTCCCTAAACAATATGGCATGGCAGTTACTGACATAGCATTCATACTGTAGCAGGTGCTATAAGTCATCTAGGGCTGATTTTCATGACACAGGAGGGTCGTGCAGCCTACGTATGCAAATCCCCCACCTCTCCTGCCACAGGTGTATCAGGCACTAAATATGCTTCTGTCCTCCCAAAATCTGGGTGTTGAAGCCCTGACCTCCAAGGTATGATGCTGCTTGGAGGTGGGGTCTCCGGGGAGTGTCTGGGGTCAGGTGGGGTCTCCTTGATGGGAGTAGTGAAAAAGAAGAGGGAGAGACTAGGGCTTCCTCTCTCTCTGCCGTGCAAGAGCCAGGAAGCCAGAGCCCTTATTAGAAAGTGAATAAGGGGTTGGGGGATTCCCTGACCTGGGACTTCTCAGCCTCCAGGGCTGTGAGAAATCATCATTTCAGCCAGCCAGCCTGTAGGGCATTCTCACAGCAGCCCAAGCCGAGACGGGGTGCAAGCCTTCATATTTGCCCAAGCTTGGAAACCCCCACCCCCCACCCCAAGCTCAGGACTTCAGCTCCTGCTCAGTTTGTTGTGGGAGGGAGGTTGGGTCAGCCCCGCCCACTGAAGGCACCACCTTCTCCCCTCTGCTGTCTTCAAGGGGCTTGCTCCCCCTCCCTCACCCCTCCCTGCTGTCCTCGGCCCCTGCAGGGACCCCTTGCGGGTCTGCCCCTCAACTCTGCTGCACACCAAAGCAGCTCCCCCCTCTCCTCCTGGGCGTGGAGTCCTGCCCAGTTTGGAAGGCAGAGTAGTTAAATTAACAATCCCAAGGCACATGCATGTGGGGGGAGGGCAGCAAGTGTCCAGTGGTTCTAATGGCAGTCAACACACAGTGCCCAGCCCTCCCCCCAGTCAATTCTGCCTCAGGGACAAGGGTGTCCCCAGTACAGCCTGGTTGGCAAACCCACCCAGGCTGATCCATACCCAAATCCCGGAGGTCCCACTTTGGAGCAATTTCTCCAAGAAGCCCCTCACCAAGCAACACATGGGAAGGGCTCAGGGGTGGCCGCCTGAGTCGGGGGAAGCAGCAGGGGCTCTGGCCAGAGGTTAGAACCTCTGTTCTGTTCTGTTAGGCAGAACAAGCACATTATTGGTTACATGATTATGGTTACAGATGGACAAAAATAGCATGTTCCCTGAAAACACTTTTATTCACACTTTATTAAAAAAAAAAAAAAAGACCCAGCAAACATCCATTGATCATGAGCACCTCAAAGCACATAAAGGTTGTTCTTTTGATTGGCAGGGAGGATCTTTGGGAGGTCTGATGAGAACTACTGTGAGATGAGGACACCCCACCCACTTCCCGCCAAGTCCTGCCCACCCATCTCCTCCCCCCCATCTCCTCTCCCCCCCAGGTTCTCCCACTGCTCTCTGATGAGAACTACAGTGAGATGAAGACACCCCACCCACTTCCCGCCAAGACCCGCCTCCCCGAGTTCCCCCACTGCTCTCTGATGAGAACTACAGTGAGATGAAGACACCCCACCCACTTCCCGCCAAGTCCTGCCCACCCATCTCCTCCCCCCATCTCCTCCCCCCCCCAATTCTCCCACTGCTCTCTGATGAGAACTAAGGTGAGATGAGGACACCCCACCCACTTCCCGCCAAGCCCCGCCCACCCAGGTTCTCCCACTGCTCGCTGGATGATCACAGGTAAGCCAGTGGGCTTTTCCTGCCGGGGACGGGGAAGAAGACCATGACACGACCACACCTAAGCAGGGTGGGCTGGAGCCAGGACTCAACCTGGAGGTCCGGGTGACCCCGCTCAGCCTCCTTCCCATTGCCCCACAGGGTAGATAGAGGAATTCAGGTGCTGCAAAGAGCTGGCAGCAGTGGATGGAAATGAAGAGTCCCCACGGGAACCGCAGAGAGGGAGCGGGGTATAGAAAGCCTTCCTTGGGGATCTCTGGAATGGCGTCTTCCCAGAGTCCCCTGGGGTCAGGGTGCCGAGTCTCGAGCATTCCCCACGATTAGTGATTAATGTTTGGAATATCAGTGCCCCGAGCTGGACCAACCTGGTCCAGCAAGCCACAGAAACCTGCAACAGCTTAAACCCTAGGCGCTGCCTGGCAGTCTCCCGCATTTACTTGCTGCTGCATCCGCCAGCACCGGACACCCTGGTTATCTCCCCAAAGTCTAGGGGTGCAGGGGGAGGCTCCCCAGCCTCCTGCAATCTTCCCAGAAGGAACAGAGCTCAGGGGCCCAGACATCTGGGTCACTGAAGAGATCAGCCCCTTCCCCCCGACCCCGCCCCACCGTGGGGCTCCTGGGAAGACACTCACCTTTCAGGTAAGCCAAGCCAAAATAAGTGAGCTCTCCAAGGTGGGCGAAGGACACCACGGCCTCGAAGACGGCACCTGCCGTGGACTCAATGTCACATTTCACCTGCAGGCACTGCCCGCTCAGCAGGACCACACAGAGGTCCCTGAGAGCCAAATAGGACTTCCCTTTTTTGGTCTGGAAATGACAAGAGCAGTATCATTTTCTCAGGAACCACGAGACGTCGACCTTTAGCAGGTGCAAATGCAAGTTACCACGCTCAGCACTTAATGTGACAGACAACCGGAAATGAAGTCACCTGTCTTCAGCAAGTGACAAACCACAGCTCAGAGACTGCAGAGGACTTGTCCAGGACTGCACAGTTAGCAACAGGCACAACCGTGCTCTCTGCCAGGCTCTGGGGAGGGGCAGACAGGCTGGGCTGCCCACCGGCTTCAGCCGTGAGTCGCATGTCCCGGGAAGCATCGTGCACCCTGATGCTGTCCCCAGTCTGCCCCAGAGTACAGATTAATGAATTCTAAACTGTGGAGGATGGAGGCGGAGGGAGCAGACCCCGCGGGTGGACAGGGCTGCAGCAAGGGAATGTAGATCCTGGTACAGCAGAGCTGCAGCACAGACTCAAGGCTGCGTCTGCCTCTTCAGCCTCCTCGGGTTCTTAGTGGGTTCATGTCCCCCTGGAGCACCCAGTGGCCCCTGCTCAGCCTCCCAGAGAACCGGTCATCCTGCAGTCACGTGGGCTGCGCCACCTGTGGCTGCATCCTCCATGCCCACTGCCCTTCTCCCCACCCAGCAAATCTCCTACGCGTCTTCCATGCTGGCGTCTGCACCCCTTGTCTGAGGTCTGCAGAGTGAGGCCACCTCCTCCCTTCTCTGCTCAGGGCCCCCGCACTGCCCCCAACCACGTCCTAACGCGCAGCCCAGATCTCGCTGGGCAAAGTCGCCCTTTGAAGGCGGCCCTGAGCAGGCACACTCACCACAGAGACCTTGCCTGCAGCCACCCTGACCCTCCTAGCACCCAAGGGCGGCCCCGAGGGCAGGCTGGAGGACCCTGTGGGAGGGGGCTTCCCCTAAGATCACTGGCGGGCTGATGGTACAGGCCTGCCCTGAGCCACCCCATCCCTGTCCCTGCTGTGCACCTGAGCAGCCCCAGAAATTGTTTAACTCGTTCCGGGGCCACCCCTCAGATGGCCCCATCAGACTGGGGCAAGGCCCGGGGACAGGAGCGTCCTTAAGCTCTTAAGCGGGCAGTGGGGCCAGCAGTGCAGTCACATGGAGCCCTGTGCCCCCGGGCTGTGTCCGGGTCAGGTGCTCTGGAACTGCCTCTGGACAATCACAGGATGATCTGGAGGCGTTTTCCAAGTGAAGTCCAGGAGGACAGGGTGTGTATGCAGGGAGCCTCGGCCCCTGGGAGTGCTACCCCCACCCACCTCCCTGGGATGGGCTTTGACCACCAGCTCCTGGCTCCCCAATCCCCCAGCCTCCTCTGCCCTCGCCTCCTCCTCCTCAGGGCAGTCACACTACCCCATAGTTTCATCCCTGTGCAAGGGGCTGGTGCAGAAGGGTCCTGGGCAGGTGCACCTCCCTCCCCACCCCACCGCCAAGACATCTCATAGCAGGCATGTCAGTGGCTGTCCCCACCTGGGCCAGTGGCACCAAAGCTGTCTGTGAGTGACCCGGCAAGGACAAGCAAGCCTCTTACCCAGCCCCGATCCAGGTACAGGGAGGTTGTGTATTGCAGGAACAAGCCCCCATCTGTCAGGGTTGGGCAGCAGAGCCATGGGAGCTGGGGCACAGTGCATGGACCCAGCAGCTGGTGGGAAGGGAACCCAGTGCCCCAGACACATGACAGGACCTCAGGCACCTGGTGGGGGTCTCTCTCTTCTCCCTGTGAATATCCCTGTGCCTGCAGGAATGTGGCATTACATAGCAGATAAAAAGCCCAATGCTTGCATGTCAAGAGAGGCAGAGGGGCCAGCTCCATGGCTCACTTGGTTAATCCTCCACCTGCAGCACTGGCATCCCATATGGGCACCGGGTTCTAGTCCTTGTTGCTCCTCTTCCAGTCTTGCTCTCTGCTGTGGCCCAGGAGGGCAGTGGAGGATGGCCCAAGTGCTTGGGCCCTGTACCCGCATGGGAGACCAGGAGGAAGCACCTGGCTCCTGGCTTCAGATTGGCGCAGCGCCAGCTGTAGCAGCCATTTGTGGGGTGAATCAACAGAAGGAAGACCTTTCTCTCTGTCTCTCTCTCTCACTGTCTAACTCTGCCTGTCAAAAAAAAGCGAGGCAGAGACAGAGAGAAAGTGAGAGAGAGAGAAACCACAGTGAAAAAGGGCAATGTTGCGTGTTCTCGTTCCCACAGTGGCTGCCTGGCACGCAGGGCACAGCAGGAGGCTGCAAGTTAGAAGGCTGGCCCCACAAGAGCCTGTTTCTGGGTGTGTCCCGTGGACAGCCACACTGTGAGCCTGGGGAATCTGCTTCCGACGCCCACAATTCAGCATACAGAGATCCCTGCCGCCGAAGGCAGCTCCTTCAGGCTCTACTCCAGTGTGTAGGTTCTGGGAAACCCTGATTCCACAGGAAGAAAGGGCACTTGTTCCCAACAGCGCCCTCCACGTGCAGGGAGACACAGGCAGCTGCACACACTGGGCGCATCCGGGACAAGAAGTGGCAGCAAAAGCAACACACAGCAGATGTACTGTCCTAGCTGAACCGGGACAGGTGACCAGGGACGCCCCGGGGTATAAGGCCACCCCTTGTCTTCTGCTGGAAGACAGTCTCCCTCTACACACCCCGGAAGCATCCCCAGAGATGCCAGGGTGCAGGAGCCCTTGGAGGCTCATGAATCAGCTCCAGGATCTGGTGCCAAGGTCAAGAGGCTCCACTGGACAGAGCCAGGCATTGCACGCCATCCTTGTAGGAAGGGGAGACTGCATGACCAGCCCAGCCGGTCTGTCTGGTGAGGTAGCGGGGTGTGCAGTCACCTAAGCCACGTGACCTGAACCGTGTGAGAAAAGGGGTGCCTGGGGAGATCGCCCCTTCCTCCCCCACAGTGCTGGGTGGTCTGCAGGCTGGGGGAAGGCTGAGGACAGGCAGAGGAGGCAAGGGCCCAGGGCCATGGGCCACTGCACAACACGGTGAGGAGAGAGCCCATCCGGGACCAACTGCTTGCTGCTTCTGCCTCTTTGCCTGAGGAGGCCAGGTGCCAGGGTCCTCGGGAGGTCACGGAGCCCCTCCGTGAGTCATTCTGACACCCCCAGACCCTCGCCCCTCAGCCTCTGTAACTCAGGAGCCTCCTGCCCTGGGTAACCGAATCCTTGCCTCCTTGGGCATGGGAAAACTGTTGCTCTATGCCACGCTTCCCTTCCCAGGCTGGGGCCAGGCCCACAGCAGGCGCCCTGTGGCTGCTCTCTACATGAATGAATGCAGGTGCTGAGCGCGTAGGGGTCCAGCCTCTGGAGTGAGGTGCATGGTTCATTCTGGCCGGCGTGCCTCCACTGGCCCAGAGGCCAGCCTGTTGCAGGGGAAGGGGCTTGGCAAGCACTGCATGGAAGCTGGGATTCACTGCGACCCTTGTGGGCACATTGGCCTTAACCCAGAGTGAGCCAGAGGAGGGCCATGAGCTATGGATTCAGGGACCCTGGAAAGGAGGGGGGCGCCGAGATGCAGCAGGAGCAGGCCAGCTTGGCCAGACATGCACTTCGCTTCCAGGGGAGACAGGAAGAATAGAATACCCCCCAGATTAATACTGACTGAGAATCTCCTGGCCAAGGGCTTGGCCCTGCACAACAGGGACACAGCCTGCAGCCAGCACAGGTGCACCCTTGGGGAGCTCAGGGTGGCACCAGCCACATGCTCAGGGTGCTGGGCTGGGCTCGGGTGCTGCCGGGCAGGAAAGGGCAGCCCACTCGGCATTCGCCCCCCGCCGCTCCCTCTGCCTGAACTGTTCTGCCCCCCAAAAGTCCCCAAGGCTCAATCCCTTTCTTTGTGCCTGGCTCAGCTCACGTGGCGCCCCCTAGGGGCAAACCTCTCCATCCTCCTCACCCGGCAACCGCCCTCCACCTACTTCCCTTCTTCACTGGTCTTTGTGTTGTTTAACTTTGCTTTATTTGGAAGGCAGAAAAACAGACAGACAGACAGAGATCTCCCATCTACTGGTTTGTTCCCCTAATGCCTGCAACAGCCAGGGCTGGGTCAGGCAGAAGCCAGGCTCTGGGAACTCAGTCCTGATCTCCCTCCCCCATGGGTGGCAGGGACCCGAGTGCTTGAGCCATCATCTGCTGCCTCCCAGGGTGCACATGCGCAGGAATCTGAAATTGGGAGCAAAACCAGAATTCGAATCTGGGCACCCCAGTAGGGGATGCAGATTTTCCAAGCCACATTTTTTTTTTAAGATTTATTTATTTGTTTGAAAGGCGGAGTTACAGAGAGGCAAAGGTGGAGAGAGAGAAAGTGAGCTCTTCCATTCTCTGGTTCACTCCCCAGATGGCCACAACAGCCGGAGCTGTACCCATCTGAAGCCAGGAGCCAGGAGGCAGCTTCCTGGTCTCCCACGCAGGTGCAGGGGGCCCAAGGACTTGAGCCATCTTCTACTGCCTTCCCAGGCCACAGCAGAGAGCTGGATCGGAAGTGGAGCAGCCGGGACTCAAACCAGCACCCATATGGGATGCCAGCACTGCAGGCAGTGGCTTTACCTGCGACGCCACAGCACCAGCTCCTCCAAGCCACGTCTTAACTGCTATGCCACTCACTCACCACCCACACTGGTCTCTGCACAATCCACATGTTCTTTCATGTGCACTCTTGTGTCTATCTTTGCCTCTCCCTGCTAGAGTGTAAGCTCCATGTGCTGTTCTGCTCAGCCTAGATCAGAGCCAACCACAGTGCCTGGTGCCTTCTAGGGGCTTCACAAGTCTTCTGACTGAAGGCGGAGGTGAGGGCTGGGCTGGGAGGATGGACAAGACTGAGCCGAGGGGCAGAGGATAATTCTCAAAGCAGGAAGGTAACTGCTACAGAGCAGGGGCAGGAGGAGCACATGGCCGGGGCTCCTGCAGGGGTGGAGGAGGCAGAGGGCCCCCAGAGCACCCCTGCTCAGCACCCATCAGTCCTTCCCCGCCTCGTCTAACCCCGTAGTTACCACAACTGATCCAGGCAGGTGCAGCATCACCGGGGCCTCTGCAGCCAGCAGGACAAACTCGGGCCTGGAGAACTGGGAGAGACACCAGAGTCACTTACGGGGAAACGACAGGACGGGCTCCAGACTCTGGGTGCTGGGCTGCCCCCGGGGAGCTCACGCCTGCTCCTGCAGGAAACAGGTTTTGGGGCCTGAAGCAGGCCAAGACTCCAGCGAGGCTGGCCCCTCAGAGCAGAAGCTACGTGAGCGGGGATGGGGTATTGCCAATGTCCAGTCTCTTAAACTGGGTGCAGGGGGGTCTACTTCATTGCACATTTTATACGGCATCACATAGTCTTATCACATGTATCAAAAGAATAAGGTACATTATATGGTACACATATATGATATGCAATGCAGAGCTTTTTAAAAAACCTACTTTGGATTTCAGAGAGGTAGCACGTTTTTCCAGCTCTAAACAATGAATTAATTGCATGCATGGGCAGTGCCTGTCCTCACGTCCAGCTAACGTCCAGGGAAATGCTTCGGCCCTCATTATTATTTAGACCCAGGGTTCATCCTGTGGGGTGCACATTCTCAACCCATTTTACAGGTGAGCAAATTGAGACTTCAACAGGTGAGCAGACAGCGGTGGAGTTGGGTGGGCTTCTAACATATCCTCAAGGTACCCAGCTAAACACATGACACAAGAGGTCAAAATGCCAGTCGGGGAGTGGCCTGCGTCCTGAGACAGACCCCAGTAGCAGCGTCTTTACTGAGTGACCAGGAAGAAAATCTTACAAAAGTGAACAATGCCTTCCAGGGCCCTTTTAATCTGCCCTCCACCCAAGCTCGTGGGGGCCTGAGAGTGGGTGGGGCGTATGGGAACTGCAGCCCTCAATCTCTCTGGGGGTCAGCTGCGGCTCACGTCTAACTTGCTGAGGGGCTTAAAGCAAACATATCTGCCACAGACAGATGGACAGCAGATGCCTGGTGGGAACTCTGGGTCTCAGGTTCCGATGCTGAGACAGAAGGGGGAGGCCGCTCTGGGTGAACAGTCTGCCAGGTGGGGCTTGTCGCAGCCCTAGGGGTGCTGATCCCTCACAGGCCCTGTGGCTAATGGCAACAGTGCATCCTCAGGAAGGGATGCCACACCCTGCACACTGCCCGTGGCTGTGACCACTGGCTCCGTGGCCTCACCCTGCAGCACAGACCTCAGCCTGCAAGGGGCAGGGCCCCAGGAGGCAAGGGCATGCTCCTGAGGTCTCTGACATCCGCCCCGCCTCTTAGCCTGGCCTCCCGGCAAGTTGGCCTGGCTGCTGTCTGGGCCCTCGCTGTCACGCTCCCCTAACCCCTCCCCACCAGAGAAGCTGGCCCTGCAGTCCTGGGTCTGTCCTGTGTTTCTCTCAAGCCAGAACAGCCCCCAGTGAGCACCTTCTACCTTGGCAGCTCTGTAATCACACGCTCTGCCCCTGCCCTGTGCACCAGCGACTGGAAACCGCGGGGTGGACCCAGCGTCTGTACCCTTGTACCCGACACAGTGTGTACCATGAACCCTGCCCCAGCGACACCACCCAGCCAACACCTACACCCCGAGAGACACATCTCAGGTCTCTGTGAGTCCAGAGCTGTGAGCCTCAAACCCAGGATGCCTGAGGACCCTGCCCGTCTGCAGGGCCACCTCCGGCCGCCCCCTCTCTGCCCCTCCTTGGCTCACCTTCCTGTTTCTTTGCAGGAGATCTTTGTGAGAAGGAGTTGCTGGCAGCGAGATTTCTGCTGCCCCTGAGAGCGCAGATGCAGAGCTGAGCCGTCGACACTCCTGGGCATCGTGAGGCGTTGCACCTGCCAAAGCGCTGGTCAGGGGTGCGGAAAGGGGTTATGCTTAAGCCGAAGGCCACGCCCCCCCGACCACCCGCAGGTGCTCAGCCCCTGATGCATGAGCTCTTCAGCCTGTGCAGCGATACTGCGAAGCTATCGCGTCCACTTTGCAAACAGAAGGCAGAAGCCTGGAAAATCAACAGTGGATCACCACGCTGAGGCCGCTGGAGGTGTGTGATGATGTGTGTTCTCCACTTCATGAATCATGTGACGCTGAGTCAATGGGCGTTTTAATTATGATCGGGATAACTACACGCTGACACCACCAACTCCATCTTGAGCTTCTCCCTGTAACTCACGGCTGTAGCTGGCCCGGGGCAGGCTCACCGCGAGGAGGTCTGTCTGTTCCCTGTGGCTGGTTGACAGCCACACTGACGCCTGCGCACTGATACGCAAGAGATAGTTTGAGGCCAGGCCTTTTCCCTCCAAGGTTGACATCTGGGCTCTGAGTTAAGACACCTGGAGCAATAAACACCAGCGCCTGCGGACTGCCATTTGAGACGTGCGTCACTGTGACGCCACTCCCTGCAAGCATTCACTTGGAGAAGGCATTGGCTGCTGGAGTGAGAAGCCCACTGCCTCTTTGCCCACTGCTTTATGGCAATCCAGAGCCACCAAGGCTCACCTGCCCGAGCACTCGGCTTGGATGTGGGGAAATTTCCCCCTTGGATGCACAGGGTCTGGCTCATCGCTAGCCATCTGTGCTGCTACCTATCTCTGCCTGTCTTTTTATATCCTCCTTCTGGGCGTCTTTGTAGATGTGGCTTTTGTGTGCATTGCAATGAACTGATTAACTCGGGAACTATCTCTGCCTCCACTGGCTTGTCATCTGATTAAAGAGTAATAGGTCCTAGCCAGCGCCGCGGCTCACTAGGCTAATCCTCCGCCTAGCGGCGCCGGCACACCGGGTTCTAGTCCCGGTCGGGGCGCCGGATTCTGTCCCGGTTGCCCCTCTTCCAGGCCAGCCCTCTGCTGTGGCCAGGGAGTGCAGTGGAGGATGGCCCACGTGCTTGGGCCCTGCACCCCATGGGAGACCAGGAAAAGCACCTGGCTCCTGGCTCCTGCCATCGGATCAGCGCGGTGCACTGGCTGCAGCGCGCCGGCCGCGGCGGCCATTGGAGGGTGAACCAACGGCAAAGGAAGACCTTTCTCTCTGTCTCTCTCTCTCACTGTCCACTCTGCCTGTCAAAAAAAAAAAAGAGTAATAGGTCCTGCCCTTTTTGGAAAAATTGTAATCCCTGGGGCCGGCACTGTGGCACAGTAGGTTAAAGCCCCAGCATGCAGCACCAGCATCCCATATGCACGCCAGTTCGAGTCCTGGCTGCTCCACTTCTGATCCAGCTCTCTGCTATGGCCTGGGAAAGCAGCAGAAGATGGCCCAAGTCCTTGGGCCCCTGAACCCACATGGGAGACTCAGAAGAAGCTCCTGGCTTCGGATTGGCTCAGCTATGGCCATTGTGGCCATTTGGGGAGTGAACCAGCAGGTGAAAGACCTTTCTCTCTCTTTCTCTCTCTCTCTCTCTCTCTCTCTGGCTCCATCTCTATCTGTAACTCTGTCTTTCAAATTAATAAAATAAATCTTTAAAAAAATTGTAATTCTTGAGGCTGAAATTGGCACCAGGCATGGGGGAACCAGGCCACCGTGGCTGGTCCAGCATGCTAAGGGGCAAGCCACAATATACGCCCCTCCCCCATCTCACAGCTCCACCTTTCTGCCCTGGATTCCTGGACCCCATGTCCTGAACACCCCCTGAGCAGGCCATGAGATGACTGGGCACCTAACTCTTCTTCCTTGGAATTTCATTTGGTTGATGAAATCAGGGAGTGATCTGGTGGCTATTTTCATTGGGACAATCAGGCTCTAAATAGCAAGAAAAATCAGTGGGCGGTGAACTCCACAAGGTAGAGCTCTAGGCAAGGGCCCAGCTGTGAGTCTGCCATCAAGTGTGGTCAAAGCCCCGGGCTGAACCCTGCAGAGATCAGACACTGTCACAGGCCCTGACAAAGCAATGTGTAAATAAACAGATCCCCAAACTTCAAAATGGCCAAGGTGCCACAGTCCAGGAAAACAGGGGACCACGGTGTGGCTTTTGATCTGATTTAAGCATCTGTGTGAGACTGCTGCAACAATGGCCTTGATTCTTCTCCCTGGTCCCTGTCCTATGTGACCTGACATTGCAGCCCCTGCTATTAACAGGTGGGGTCCATTTCCACACCCTCTGAACCTGGGTTGCACTTGAGGCTTGATTTGTGCAATAGAATAAAGTGGGAGTGGTAGAAAGCCAGTTCTGAACTCTCCCTCCCTCCCTCCCTTCCACTCTCTCTCTCTCTCCCTCTCCATTCTGCCATTGTTGTAACAGCAGTCCCAGCCTATCCTGCTAAAGGACAGCCAGAGCCCCCCAGACAACAGACAATCACCCTCCCAGGAGCAAATCTGCCCAGCTGCTCACGAACACACAGACACCCAGCAGCTGGGCACGGCCCAAACCACCAACCCACAGCTAAGTGAGCTAAGCGAGCCCTGGGTGCTTGCAGCCACCGTGTCCCATGGCTGTTGGTCATGCAGCAGGGTGTGCCGACGGGCAAGTGCCGCAGTATGGAGAGAGCCTGCGTTCCCTCTCTGAGCCTGCCCGTGGTCCCCTGAGGACACAGGATGCCCCCACAGCACGGCGCCTGGGCTTTGTTGCTGCTTAGCAGTGGCTTCTTCCCACTAATGGAATGGGGCTGGCCTTTTCTGAAGAAGCCAGGGGCTTCTCATCAGGAACTGGTCAAAGCAGTAGGACACGGACCCACAGCAAGCTCTCAGCGCCCCAGACACCTTGCGGCTCACCTGTGAGCAGAGAGGCTGCCATGACTGTGTGCTGAGCTGCCCGATTGAGGCTCCAGGGAGCTCTGGGTCTCCGTGCTTCTCTCTGAAACTAATCAGATGGCATGGGGAGAGGGCAAGGGTAGAGGCAAGAGCACAGCTGTCTTAACTCAGGCAGCCTGCGGTGAGGAAAGCATCACCATTCACCAGCTGTGTGACCTTGGCAGAATTCTTGACCCTCTCTGTTTCTCTATGTTAAAAATGGGTCAGCTTTATGTCACCATGGGTTAAGCCCATGCCTGCAACACTGGCATCCCATGTGAGCACCAGCTGGACTCACGGCTGCTCTGCTTCCGTCCCAGCCTCTCTGGGAAGGCAGTGGAAGATGGCTCAAGTCCTTGGGCCCCTGCCACTCAAGTGGGAGACCCAGGTGGAGCTCCAGGCTCCTGACATCAGCCTGGCCCGGCCCTGACTGTTGGGGCTATTTGGAGAGTGAACCAGCAGATGGAAGATCAATCAATCTCTCTCTCTCTCCCTTGCTCTCTTTGTTGCTCTGCCTTTTGGATAAATAAAATAAATATTTTTTAAAAAGAATAGAAATGGAAATGGCAGTTACAGGGCAGGGGAGGGTGGGAATTTTTAGGAGGAGCTAAAGTCTAATGATGGAGACCATCTTGTTTCCAGGACAACAAATATCATGAATTTTTTTAAAGATTTATTTATTTACTTGAGAAGCAGAGTTACACATAGAGGCAGAGAGAGAAAGAGAGGTCTTCCATCTGCTGGTTCACTCCCCAAATGGCTACAACAGCCGAGCTGGGCTGAACCAAATCCAGGAGACAGGAGCTTCTTCCAGGTCTTCACGCAGGTGCAGGGGCCATCTTCCATGCTTTCCCAGGGCATCAGTAGGGAGCTGGACCGAAGTGGAGCAACCGGGACTCGAACTGGTGCCCATATGGGATGCCAGCACCACAGACACAGGCTTTACCACTACACCACAGAACCAGCCCCTCACTATCACTAATTTAAAATAAGGTCCGAAAGCTCAGATTCCATTGGAAAGCAGAGAACAGAAGATGTTATTTTAAATGCCTCTCTTTCCCCCAAACCCAGGACAACACCACCAATCTTGTGCAAATCATTTTCCCCTTCACTCTACCTAGAAAGTCAAGGAGGGAAAACCGTTCTTTTCTGCTGCTCGCTTTCACTTGTTTGTATCAACTTGGACAGTTAGAAATCACTAAAAACGGAGCTGACATTTGATGTAAAGAACTCTTAAATTGTAACCCGGCAGGTCCTAAGCTCAGCTCTGTCTCTCCAGGGCTTCTCTGGAGCAGCGGTGTTAACGCAGGCTTCCTCTGGCATCCCCTCAGGGAGGTCTGGACCCAGGGGACCGTGCAGGGCAGGGGCCAGAGCCACACACACTCACCTCTGCAAGGCTGCAGACTCCCCAGCGCCTGAGCCGCCGGGCTCTCGCCGCTCAGCTGGTGCAGCCTCTCCCTGAGCAGGTAGCTTCTGCTCTGCCGCACGGAGGAGCTGTCTTCCACCACGCGCCTCTCCACCTGAGGGTCAAGAGCATCACACATTGGCACCCTGAGGTCAAGGTCAGTGGGGGCATTGCGCTCGTGCAGACGCAGGCAAACTGCAGTCAGACCAGACCAAGATGCAGCTGCCCTCCCGTGAGAAGCCAACAGCGCTTTCTCCAGCAGCCAGGCCCACTCTGGACCCACGTGCACGTAGCTGACCCCGCCAGCCCCATGTGCTCAGGCATGTGTGCCTTTGCACACACATTCCTTCCGCTGGCGAGGTCTCTCCAGAAGCTCCACGGCGTCCATGAGATTTTATCCGCTCTGTTCCTAACCTCCTCCACCTCTTCCCCCTGACACCCTCCCTTGTCGTTGCATGCACGCCCATCTCTATTGCACATTACACGACTCAAGCACTTGGGCCATCCTCCACTGCCCTCCCGGGCCACAGCAGAGAGCTTGAGTGGAAGTGGAGCAACCGGGACTAGTACCCAGTGCCCCAACTGGGACTAGAACCCGGGGTGCCAGCACCACAGGTGGAGGATTAGCCAAGTGAGCCATAGCACCAGCCCAGTGACTGAGAATTTGAAACATGGCATGAGGGCCAGCATCCTGATGTAGTGGATCAAGCCACTACCTGCCAGCCTCCCATGTTGGAGTGTCGCTTGGAGTCTGGCTACTCTACTTCCCATCCAGCTCCCTGCCTGGGAAGGCAGCAGAGGATGGCCCAAGGGCTTGAGCCCCTGCCACCCATATGGGAGACCTGGATGGAGTTCCTGGCTGTTGTCTTCAGCTTGACCCAACCCTGGCTCTTGCAGGAGTGAACCATGGAATGGAAGAGCAATCTCTCTCTCTCTCTCTCTCTCTCTCTCTCTCCCCCCCCTTGTCACTCTGCCTTTCAAATAATAAATAAATAATTTTGCAAAGACAGAAATGTGGGATGTGTGACTGAGGAATTGAACCTTTAGTTTTATCTCATTCCAATGCATTCTAAGGCACTGAGGCAAACATCAATCACTGCACGTGGCTTGCAACCAGCAGGCTGCAAAGCACAGCTCCGTACTGACCTCAGAGATGGTGCCCAGAACCAAGCCAACCAGCCGCTGGATGTGGAGGCCGGCAGGGGCCGGGTACACCGACACTGCTTCCTGATGAGCCTGACACGCTTCCAGAACCGACGGCAAGGGCGGCCGCCTGTGAGGCTGCTCTTCGCACATGCTCAGCAGGATCGAGTGCAGGGGCTCGCTCAGCTGCAGGGGCTGCAGGACAGACGAGGCCGTGAGAAGCGCGCACTGTCGCCGCCCAGCCAACACCATGACAGGTGCACCCGGAGACGACGGAAAAGTTCTCACCACCAGGCGGATGCAAGCTCCTTCCAGGGAGTTTTTGTCTTTAAAGATTATATTTCTTTATTTGAGAGGCAGAGTTACAGAGGCAGAGAGAGAGAGAGAGAGAGAGAGAGAGAGAGACAAAGAGAAAGGTCTTCCATCAGCTGGTTTACTCCCCTAA